TAAGAGCGAGCTAGACAAGACAGGAAAGTGAATAATGAGGTTGGATGGACCTGTTCGACCATGACTGATCTCTGAGATAAATATGTCTTTTACTGTAGAACTCAAACTTACTCCAGGCCGTAACACCTGACACTTTATGTCTTGGATTACGCAAATTCAGATCAAGTTCAGATCGGTCCTGATGGTATTAATATCAACAACTATCAGCACTAGATGATATGATATACATGTATAGCAAGGCCGCAATCCTGTACACGTATTATATTATATTTTTGACATATGAAGGGCAGTACTTGGTTTATGATCACGATGTGTGTACAATTTGAATTGTTTCTACAAAGTACAAGGTAGCTATGGCCTCCATGTAGAAGACGGCACACTTGTACATGTGGTGTTTAGACTTTAGACCTCTGTCTCAGTGTCTGTCCCACGCTTTCTGTGGCACAAAGCGATGTGACAGAGAAATCCGTGTTGGTTATATGCCAAGAGATATCAGTGGAACAATAACCAGTAGCCTGAAAAATCCACCGACTTGTGGTCAGCATTACATGTAGATGACAGATCCGAATTCTCCAGACTAAATAGACGCAGGTCTGGATTCTTTGCACTAATGTACACCAGGCCGGATGTATGAAGCAAGACTTAGTTATGCGTTGGTTTTTATTAAATTCCATATGCTTCATATGTTTGAATTTGTTGGCGCTGATTTGTCCTTCATTTCTTGACTACAATATGCACAAAACGCACAGTACTGGTGGACATGAACAAGCAAAACAAGTGATGTACTTCCAGAAATAAAATATTTATTGTGCAGAAAGTATTTGATTTTTACCAATGCATACTATAACACAGTAAAAAGCTTTCACAAACAATGGCGTCGCATTTACACTTTGAAATTTCACAGCTTTCTAGTATCTACACTTGGGTATTAATAAACATTTAGCATACATTGTGATTTAGAAGTTTCTTCATAAATTTACAGATAAATTAATATGTTTGATTTGTTGTCGTTGCAGTTCCCCCTGACGATCCAGTGATAGAAGAGGGAGCCTCTGTGTCGGTCATCGCTGGGAAGCCGAAGAACGTCACCTGTCGGGCAAACAACGGCAAGCCTGCTGCAACCCTCACCTGGTGGAAGGATGGCCAGGTGAGAAAGTTTATTGTTTGTTTATTAATTGATCTCCATTAGTTCATACAGAATATCTATTCATATTAGTCTTCCTAGAGTCATGTTACACATACAAACACTAAACCAAGCTACACATTTATCTATATACACCTACTAAAGGCTAAACGTATCTTAACTACAACATGGTAAGACTACAATTGTGCTGAGAGGTTGAAGGTATTTATTCTAGATCTAGGTTCCATGTATTAAAAATTCATATTTACACTTTGTCATTACCTCTACCACCAAGATTGCAAGGGTCTCGAAAGTCTCGCTATCAACAGAATAATTACTGCACTTTCTTCACATTCGTATTACCTAATTCACAATATTCTTCCTGGTGTCCTCTAAAATTCAATAAAACAAATTGCTGCCACTCTTACCTGGTGGAAAGATTTTCAGGTGAGAATGTCTTGATATCCAAGGAATGCTTATTGCACTCTCCACATACCCCGGTAGTGTCAATGCTTTTGGGAAGTTTGTTTGTTTGTTTGTTTGTTTGTTTGTTTGTTTGTTTTCTAAGGATCTCCATTAGTATTACATGAATTTCACACTATTCTCCCTGGACTGCTGGAGTCTGCTACAATGCAATTAGTAAACAAAAACTTACAATTTCTAGACAGCGAAAAAATAAACAAAATCAAATGTTACTGAATTGTTTTTAACTTTGCTTTGGCCTTTTTTTGTAGGACAAGTCTTGGATTACTTAGTCTAGAAATAATAAAATATTTCCTGTTTCACGGTTTGACGTATCTTGGCAGAAATATCTTTGGTATGATTTAATTTCTAACCACTGCATCAATGAACAAAGGGGAGTTAGTTAAATGCTTGGTTGGTTGACTGAAGTCTGCAGCTGGCAGGGTGGAGTATTTTGCCATCTGGCAGCATGTGAAATGTCTCAACCCCCAGCAGTCCTGCTGTCATAGCTTAAATATCCAGGATTATTCCACAAATTGACCCGTAGTCGGTGCAGCTTAGGTCGTGCTATCACATTACAGTTTCCTAACAGTCACCTTTGACCTAACCTATTCTGAGGGTCATGAAAAGCAACCCAGACGTTTCCTAGTGTATTTCAAAATGTTCGAGTAATTGTGGCCTTGTTCTAAACTGAAATCATCCCGCTGTATTTGATAGCCTGGCCTACAGTTAACTTTAATAGCAATTTTTCCTCAGCATAAATCAAATGAAATGACTCACTGTATTTTATGTTCCTCATATTATGTTGTTCTCTTACCCAAAATGCTTGTCAAATCAATATTTAGTTCCTAAATGCAATCTAAATCGCTGTCCTATTCCTCATAAAGAATACCCTTGGAATACTCTCAATTATGAATGAGAAATAAGATCATCTCTTCAACCATGTCTTATGGTACAATGTAATAATTCCATGAATAGGCCATTACGAAAGATGTATGATTGTCCGGAATACCGGTAACCCGATTTTTATTCACCCAGTTAGGTAACCATCAGACCTCGCGGTTGTCCACTTGGTCCAGATAACTTTTCTGACAAATATTTACATTTACGTTTATGTTCTTTATTTAACTCATGGATATGAAATTGAGAGCTTTTTTGAGTATGAATTATTCAATGTTTGTAAGCCATGCCAGATGGGATCCTGCTGCATTAAGAAAAAATAATTCATATTCAAAATTGCCGGAGGGAAAAGCAGTGCTGGAAAGGATAATTTTCTGATACAGTTTTGCATGCTCAATTTCCAAATGTGTGTCTTTCTACCAGATTTCTCCAAGCATGTCTTGGGCACAGACAGTTGTGACAGAGTGTCCAAGGACCGAGACTGTATCTTCTTTCACTTGGATTGAATAAAGGATGAGGACGCATTTAATGAATGAGGATGCATCAAAAAGTTATTACCAGGTATTCATAGCAATGCATCTTCTTCTTATGAGGCTGAATAAATTTGCTATTTGTGTCGCTGACCGAAATCACCTACCAAGAACCAAATCTCGACAAGGATTGAAAGGATAAGGACACGAACTAGAGTAAGGATGCAAAAAGTTATTATTCAGAGTAATGCATCTCCTTCATATGGGGCTGACTAAACTTACTACTTGTGTCACTATAGTATATAGTATATGTTCTACCAATAATGTCATTATGAAATCACCACAGGGCAGCGAAAGCCCCTAACTTGTTATTTGGAAGGGCACAGCTGGACAATATCTCTGTGCCTGAGATATTTAAGACTAGTGGTTACCTTATTACTGCTGGGAGGGGTGGAATTGACCAGTGGGAACACCAGCTGGTCAGCGTGTGCCTGCCTGCTGCACCTGATGAGCTCTGGACAAGGCAGGAGACATCAGGTCCATGCAACCATGTCAGTAATAACAGTGCTTGAAAACTAACTACTGACTGCACAGCTACTCTGTGTTTGCCTTCAGACCATTGGTCATTTCTTACTTTGCAGCTGGTGTGTCCAGGAGAGGGATATGATTATTAGCCTCTACCAGGCTTCGGGAGGTGGAAGAGTAGAGAGATACCATGTCAGCGAAGTTGGTCCGCTAGATAGAGGTAAACTGTACTCTTCTAGCGGACCAACTCCCACAGCATGTTATCTGTCTGTTTGGCCAATTTCTACTCTTTAGGCGCCCAGAGCCTGGAAGAGGCTAATGATTATACATGTACATTTTACATGTATATTAATTTGTGGCTATTGGCAGTTGTTTGACATCAAGCACACTGGCACAAAAAATGTTTAGATTTTTTTTTACACAGTCTACTCTAGGCTACTGAGAGAAGCAAGGGGCTAGCCTGTGGCCTGAGCACTTAGGCAAGCTCCAGGCTACAAGTTGTATTTTTTTTCATGGCTAATAACTGTAGTTGTTTTGGGGGATTATCAGGAGAAACTGATCGTGAAAGATAATCTGAAGTCAAGTGATATGATAGCAGCTCAGATGGTGGTAAACACATACACCACAGGAAACTGCTTCCTCCTCAGGGAAAAAGTGACCCTAAAGTCAGCACTGCAGTTGCTTACAGGACCAAGCTGTTACTTTGACAGTGGTCGAAATACTTTTTTTCAGTGCTCTGCAATATTGCAGAAGAGTCAAAATTTTGTTCTGCAATTTGGAAATACTTTCTGCAAATACACAAGCCTCCATACTACAATCTTGCAAGTTTATAAGCATGAACTATTGATTGATATGCAAATTAGTGAAGACAAATTTTTTGAAGTCCACAAGGAAACAAAAGATAAACAAGTCAAGACAAGGTTGATGTAAATTAGTTAAGATGCTCCTGTTGTTTCAGAACAGGAGCTTATAAGTGTTGTCTGTCCTTGGGGCCAAGAGCACCAGATCCCAAGTGCCAATTTTTCCTGCTGCAAAATTGCAGATTGTATAAATTTTTCTTCTGCAATCTTGAAAATCTATCTGCAAATTGCAGACTGCAGACAGGTATTTCGAACACTGTTTGACCATCCAATAAAGCACACGAGATGGACAAGCTAGGTAGGTGCCTGTTTGTCACACTTAACTGAAAACAACAGCTGATTTCAGCGTACGATTTATATGGTTTGGCAGGATACCAATTTTGGGCAAAGCCGGGAAAGCTCCAGATTTATGTATATATAATATATTTATATATATTATCCACTGAAAGCTGTGGCAAATTATTTCGAAAGAAAAGTTCAACAATTCTATGTGTACTATGTAGCCTCTACCAGGCTTTGGGAGGGTGGCTGGAAAGAGTAGAAATTGGCCAAATAGAGATAACATGCCGAGGAGTTGGTCCACTAGAGAGCACATTTGGCCTACCACTTATGTATAATTCATCTCCTAACTGTCTGGGAGCTCAACTTGATCATCAAGGTTCTCTCAGGATGATTGCAGAGGAGAAAGTGACTCATCTCCTGTTCCCTACAGCATAATCACAAGTCAACTTTGTTAGATGTAGTCAGACAAGCATATCCTTTGTGCATACATCTGTGTGCACTTTAGGTAAGATGACAACCCGAGAACACGTCTCTGACGCAAATGCCTTGTGTTAGGAGAGCGCGGGGGAACGTAACAGCATATCCCATGGTAGTACGACACTTTTATTCATGACTTTGACTTCAGAAATAGGTCAAGGAGACCTTTATGCAAAATCGATACCTGTACCTGGTTTGGTGAAATGCCTCGCAGGATTGTGGTGAAGATAAAGTCCTCCTCAGGTTGCATTTATCTTTATCAAGGTCTGCTGACTCTGCTCTATTGATTTTCAGTCACACTGCTCCTGGGCTATTTATTGAGTGCTATTCTCCCTAGTCGAAGCAGAGGCTTAGGCTTCAGCTTATTTTTGACGTATTTTTAGACGTTTTTATCAGGCTTTCTTTTTTGTACTGGTATCTTTTTTTTATGCCAGCCAAACATGGATATTGCCATGCCAATTTAATCCTATCTTTCCAATTTGATACTGTCTTGCAGCGAACAAAAGATCTGCTTGGACTTCGAGGTTGTGTGCTACTTGTAGGTTCCTTGTGTCTGCCTCTCGCTCTGTAACGAGCGTTGTGGTTTTGTCTTCTTGTCAATGGCTTGCAGTACAGTAGGAGGTTAATGTGTGTAAAGATGGATGACTAACTACCAGCTGGCAAAAGACCTGTTTTAACCCCAATCTTATTGGTTACAGCAACTGGAAATGGCCAACAGCTGGAAGACAGGGGTTGTGCCATACTGGCTCTGTAGTACGGTCTGTTAGCTCATAGCAGGTGATTGGGGGGGAGGCCATGATGAATGTCACGTGGAGAACAATGGGCATATTTTGAAAGTCCAAAGATGGACTGTTTGACTCATTCCGAGTTGCCTCAGCCCCATTTAGAGGGATAACCTCTCAAGACCCCGTCTCCCCACAGACTTGTTAGTCCAGATCACCCACTGCCTAACTGGCTGGCAAAGGCCCATTTCGGGATATGACAGGAATATTGTTACTGGGGAAGTCTGCCCTTAAAATTGTCCAAATCAGGTGACAATCCCAGGCGTATTGAGTTTCCATAATGTTGCTATGCGACCATATTGGTGAAATCCAAAATGGATAACACTGACTCAACAGACTCCCATGTACATTAAAAGGAATATTGCACAACGTACCATGACCCGGGCCAAAATGCACACTTCAAGCAGCAATGTGAAATACCATAGCTTAACACCCTGTCTGCTAGAAAATCTACCAAACGTTTTGTTTCTGATACAAAATAATGATGTTGTGTCGTATCCTTCTTCATTATCATCATCAAATCAAGTTGAGTACCTAGACCGAGTGTAGCTCCGTTCTGTTTATCCACACCTTTTTAGGCCCTCTATGAGCCCAACATTGTAGCAATTGAGAAATATATAAGTCTGTCAAGTTCACCCAACTTGGTATAAATTGTCAAGGCATCCATAGTATCAGATCACTCACCAGTTCCTCTTTGCTCTTATTGCAAGTACGTCTTGATTAATTACTTTAATTTCCCTAGCAAGACGGTATCAGGGAGAAACGTCAACGGTGACTCAAGTGTACATTTTTCTTGTAGGAAATCACCGAGGGTATCACGTACATCACAGAGGATACTGAAGGGGGAGGAAGAAGAAGAAGAACGGGGTCAGCGTCAACTCATTAGATAGCTTTAAACATTTGTTTGGAGTTAGATGTTCAAGGGTTAGGTGTAACAAGTCGTTCTGTGTAATGTAGCCAGCCGTGACCGCATCGCTTGCCTGCAAAGCTGGTGTGTTACACTGAAGGGCAGTAGTACCGGCTATACAGATACAAATACAGATACAGAACTCAAGTGTACATTTTTCTTGTAGGAGATCACCGAAGGTATCACATACATCACCGAGGATGCTGGTGAGAAGAGGGAGAATGGTGTCAGTGTCCTGACCTTGAACCCGTCGGTGGACGACCACGGGAAGGTCCTGACTTGTCGGTCCACCAACCCGGCCATGGACAGCAACAAGGAGACCACCACACAGCTGAACGTGGAACGTAAGTGACAGGGAGTGAAAATGTTGATGAATGTTTGCATGTGTTTGGACATAATGAAATGTACTACATGTATATGTGAAGAAGGTTAGACATCCAGCTACATTGAGATACTCAAGAAAACAGTTACTCAAGCTTTTTTTCAAAGTCTATCCTGTTGCTTGAGTAACTTTTTTTGAGTACCGTAGCTATGTTGGGATTACAGGTAAGTGCATTCTCAGTTGCTGTTTGATTTCAGTACCAAGGAAGTCACCAACATTCAGGTATGTATGTAGTATGTATGTGATGATACTGTTATAAAGTGAATTACATGTAACTTCAGTTGATAAAATGCTGGCCAAGATGTTGTTATTATACAAATATTGCAATAACTAATCCCCATCAAGGTACCAGCAAAGATTCAATAACAACAGCCTAATTTTATTTTACAAAATGTTATGAAATACTTACTCTCAAATACTAGTAAAGTCTACCAGTAAAAGTAAAGAAAAGTAGATATTTAGAAAGTAATCTGATCACCACAGACCCCAGAATAAAGTTAAGACAAGATAAATGTGTAATTTAGGTAAATATACAACTTCAAGGACACACCTGTCACATAGCCACAATATCTGATGTTTGGTTATAACTGTTTCTGCTGAGACCGTTTTGGCTCCATCCCAGACCCAAACAGCCTTCTACAGTTTTTCTGCCAGCCAGAATGAATGTAAATATACCGCGAAGTATCAAAGTCGTAACGAGGCCACTACAGAGTTGAAGAATAATAGCACCATTGACAGAAAACTGAGTACATTAGAATTATCAAGAAAAAGAAAAACAGTTTCTCGATTTGTTCAGGTGTAGGCGGCTTTTAAGTGTCTGCCAACCACAACATTATGAAGCAGCCTTGAAAATATAACCCCTGCACAAGTGCAAAGCGATGTCATTATAAACATGGCCCAGGGCACGGCAAAAACACCTGCAGAAATATTTCTGGAACAAGAGAGGCATTCTACGTTCAAGTGTCCTCCTTGTAGTTGTATTTGCCCCCTGACCTGTATTTTCCAGGGTATGCGAGGAGGGAGTTTCAGGTCCTCTAGCCTGAACAGCGGTTTTCTCCCTGTAGTATACAGGGGTCTACCCTGAAGAGAGGCGTGATCCTTGTGCCACACTATTTTGATTTGTTGGTTGGTTCTCGGATTTTGGCAGAGAAAAATATGACGCGACAGGGAAAAAAAATTTTAATAAAACATGCCTAGGTATCTTGTAATACTGGTAGTCCCAAATGCTATTATAGGAGCCTTGAAGTCAAGATACCAGGCTGGTGTGTAAAAAGTAATTCAAACAATGACTTTCAAACTTTTAATCAAACCACTGCATTGAATATGATTGATGGATGGAAAGGCTGTAACAACTCTGAAGAGAAGGGACTTTCTTCAACTGTTGGGGCTAAAATATGACCATTTCAGAGTTGATTCAGAGGCTGAAATTTTTTTTTTCTGTTGTTCAAATCAGAAGAAAATGAAGTGCGAACCAACAGATTAAATTAGTGTGGCCTTATTGAGTAGAATCAATCTCATTGCCAGGGTTCTTGCCCCATGTCAGACTGCCATTCTCCTGGGCATGGAAAAATGCTTGGACATATTTCAACACCAGACAAAAGAGGCCATTGTGGCCTTGGAAGTAAGATGTGATGTGCAGCCTTCCAAATTCAATTGGGCAGAAATGTACATTGTAAGAAGAAGTAATAGATGGCTCTTGAGCTTTCTGTTGGGTACAGTGCCAATTTACAGAAACATCAAGGGAAGGGTTAGAAAACACTGTTGTTCTTTGCTGTGCTTCTGTCTTTCAGTAGAATAAATCTTGATTGTTACTACTGTAGGAAAATGTAAGCTGTTTTGTTCATGAAGGTTAGATATCCGGGTAAACAACATTCAAATATTATTCAAACTGCTAATGTATGAGTCTTTGTCATGTTCAACTGTTTTGTCGAATTCTTCACTTGAAAGAGTGACAAGATGTCTCAGTTCATTTTAGTGATGCTGAGGAAGAGTGAATCCTGAATATCTCTGTGTAATTTATCCAGTAGTAGAGTTTGAATTGTCTTTGAATATAAGCTGTTTCAAAATTTGCCAGTCCAGGCCATCCATGTGGTACAAGCAACACCGTACTATCTCTGTCCTACTAAAGACTAAACTCTAAAGTGCTCTAAAGACTGAATCTAGGGAATATCGCTGATGGAGAGGCTCCAAAGTATCAGGGAAAATGCTGGTGATTCTTGGCAACAGGAAGAAGCCTGATCTCCTGGCACTCGAGATGTAGGTCAGCTATGTCGAAAAGGCATCACAGCCAACAAACACGAGGATTTACGTCTCAAGAATTAGGAATTAAGATTCAATGAGTAGACCCAAGGGATCCAATCAACTCGGAAAATATGTCTCAACACACATTTTTGTACAGTATGTGGTGATGATGTCACCTCGACTTGCAAAAGAACAAGTTTCACCTGCCGTTTCTTCTGGGATTTGGGAGACTCTGGGGCCTATTGTACCCTGTTCAACTGTTCTCAGACATGACACGCCCTTCACCCCTGTCTTGACAAAGGGTGAAAAGACTCAGGGCTTACGACTGAGTCAGTCAGATTTGCCATGTTGTGGTGGCAGGCATTTCTACCCTTATTCTGTTAGGCGCCCAACAAAAGGGTTAACCTTCTTGTCAAACTGGTAAATACCCAGGTGTGACAGGACGATGGCCACCTGTGCTATGTCACTTCCGTTTGCTACGGAAAGATTATGGTTATTAAATCTGAACTTTCTTTTTGCGTGCCACACGAAGCCTTGCCCAGGAAATATATAATTTCCACCCCACTAATTATGACGACTGGAGAATTACAGACAGATGGATGTCATTATTGACTGGTGCCCCACCTGAGCAGTGAGAATGTTTAGGCAAGTCAACGAGTCGAAATAAACAGAGATTATGGGGATAGTCCGAACTTTGGTGGAACAATCCTCCCAGGTATAATTACCCAACGTGATTGCTTACACGTCTTAGCTGACACTAATGCCTCTGCTTTTCTTCGGACACCTGTGATATTAAACTGATCACAGCACTCCTTACTTCATGTATGTCAGTGTATATTATGGTTTTACTGAGAACTGTGCTAGGTATGGCTAACAGGATTAAACTCTTGAAGCTGTGAGTTGTTTGCAGTTAGTTCTTACTGACTGGTGGTGAGTCAGTCGGGCTGTAAGCCGGATATCTTCTGTAAAAGATCAGTACACATTGCAAGGCAGGAAATACTTTTTTCTCACCTGCACTAGTACAGGTAGCGTTGAAAATTACCTGCACCAGACAAGTTTCACCTGCACCACTCAGAGTTTAGGGGGGCCCGCAAGCCCTTTTCCGTAGAGCGTAATCGGCCGTTTCAATTCTACGTAGAGCGTAGACGGACCGCTCTAATATTTTTGCGTAGAGCGTATTCGGCGTTTTAATTCTACGTAATGCGTTGCAGCCACTTGGAATTTATCGTTAAGTGTAATCGAGAGGTTTCCGAATTCAGCGTAGAGCGTTGTCGGGACCCCCCCTTGCAGGCCCTCTTTAGGAAGTATGGATCGCTTTGAAAAAATGTTCAGAAACTATTGCCATTATTTTTCTTTTACACTTCAGGTGGTGTCAGGTAATGAAAATCGGCTTTCAGTACCTACATTTGTATGTAAACCCAGTTCACAGACCAGTGAAGGTTAGTTGCAGGTACTAGACATCAGAAATACCTGCACAGCTCCAATTTTACCTGCACTAAGGTGCATGCACCCAGTATTTCAAGCCGTGTATTGTCCGCTTCACAGGCCAGTTACCTGCCAGTTGTGGGAAAATATCCTTCCAGGATGTACCTTTGTTCTCAACCTAAACATTACCCTGACCATGGTCAGAAAACTGGAAGCCAGGCACAAAAGGGTCTGTCCGCTGTAAACCAAGCACATTGTTCACTGACGTGACATTCCAGCGAGGTCCTAACATTACCTGTGTTTGAGAAATAACTCCTGAATCAAGTGTTCTTAACATGTCACATGGTCCAGTGAACTGTACCATGAGTATGAGAGAGAAGGTATGACAGAAGGGGTCTGTATTTATCTCAGATTTTCATTATCGTAACTGTCTTGGGATAAGGCAGTAACAGAGTGGGGCATTATAAAGTAATGTCTGATATATTTTGTCTATACAAAATGATATTCCAAAAGAACTATGTTTTGAGAAGGATTACAAATGTATAGGACTGGAAATACCACCTGCATATGCAGGATAGTAATGTTGGAGCTGTGCACTTTTGACAAGTTTCTGACCAGTTTTTAGCATTTTTGACAATAGTTTCTGACCAGTTTTCGGGAATTATGGATCATACAAATGTTCTAAGCAGGTAAAACTTGTCTGGTACACATAATTTTCAATGTAAGTTGCACCTGCACAGTGTAGGTATACCAATAAAAGGATTTCGAGCCCTAACTAAAAGGAACAGACAGTTCGGGTGATAAAACTGGTGGGTGGGTTGAATAAAGGTCAGAAGGGAAGGAAAATGTGCAGGGGAGTCAGCCCGTCACGGTTCCCACAACCTCTGTTGGCAGGGTTAACGTAGGGGAACTTCCGATCGTCATATTTAAAAGGGATAGGTTTTCAAATCTCTTCCACCTGCACATAACATATCAACTTTTGGCAATGGTGGGAAGGAAGCTTTGACAGGCTTCTCTGCTTGGGAGGTGGACTTGGAAGTATCTGGTGAATCTAATAAAGGCTACAGTTTCTTATTTTTTACTTCTTGCACCTGTCACCACTTGGCAAGCATCACATGGCAGAGTAAAAAGCTTGTCATAGGAAACAAAAGAATTTACAAAAGCACTTTCTAACCAAAACTCAAAGTCTTCACTGCAACATGTACTTTTATAAGACCCCAGAATTCCTCAGGCATCTTACACTTTTAAGTTAATGTTAATTTTTTTTTAATATGATATGGTTAATAAAAAGGTTTGAATAAAAGATTGCAAGAAGAAATTCTTGAGGCATTTAACCTTACAAAGGTAGCTTTCTCCTACATAGCATACATAAAAGTAGAAATTGTGACACTGACACTTGCGAAAGATCAGGTGAGAATATTGCAACAGGATTATGACATTCTTCTACTATCATGCAGGACATACAATATAAACCCCATTGAACAGAGCCTGACAGGAGTAAACTGTCCCCTGGGCACAATCTAGTCTTACATGGAAGACATATTAACCTGTCATTTCATCTTTGTCACACAAGCTTTGTTTTTATAAAGACCGAGTTTTGCCCCCAGCCATGGGATTAGGAAATGTAATTCTGGATGAGTTAGTTTTGTAAAAAGAGGTACGTTTTGGAGAGGCAGTCTGTCGGGAGAAATTTATTCTGGCTGACTTGTGTGACCTGCACAGGGAGGTCCTTTCCTAAGGGGACAGGTAGTACCTTAGAAAAGCTATTGGCTTGCCTTGATTTATTGTAACAGGTGTCACAATGGGAGACAAACACATGAAGCTCCTCCAAGATGGATGGATGGATGGAAAATGGATGGACTCGGTGGATGGATTTATTGGGGGGTTCATCAATCCATTAAATAGGATAGATAGGAGTAAGCTGATGGATGCATGCCTGTAGCCAGGATTTTGAAGGGGGGTTTCTTCCCACTGTCTGAGGGACCAGTGAGCGCCGTAGGTTTCTAGGAGGTCCGTGGGCATGAAAATTTTGAAAATCTAACCCTCTAAAATGGCATTTCCTGCATTTTTGAGAGGATTTCGAACGAAAAATCAGACATTAATTTAATCAATGACAAAGTGAGCAGTTTTCTATGGTTCCAGCCCCTCTGGTGATACGAATCAGTCCATCTTTTAAAGGAAAATCTTGGACCTTTAGATAAAAAGTGGACTGAACCCCCCAAACCACCCTGGCTATGGGCATGGCATGGATCGGTCTACACACCTTGTCAGGTGAAACTGCCTGAAGGGAACTGAACAGGTGTTCTCAGATGTGTGTTTTGGCATAGATAAGAAGGTCAAGAACTCTCAGTTGACAAATCAATAAGTATGTATATACAAGAAACATGCAACAGAGATAAGCACAAATAGTAGAAATATTTTGACCTAGAATGTTTGCCAACTTTCCAACAGCATTCTAAGCAAAAACATGTCGGTTCCATAAAGGAACCAACATATTTACAATTCTGTAAGGATAGCACTAACAGGTGTGTGTACAAAACTGTACATAATTCAACCCTGCAGGCATGTTCTCAGTGAGAAGTTCCCTTCTTTGCGTCCACTTTGTGAAAGCTTGTCTCTCAACAGGTACTGTGATTGAAAGGATGTGCTCACACAATTAAAAGGCAATTTCCTACCTGGGTGCTACTGCATATTTATCACAGCTGGGGATAATGGATCACTTAGGACATACCTAAAGCTGTACCATGATCGATAAGTGTTAGGATCACTCCGTGGAAGTAGGATACAGGAGTTTTCTTTTACACAACCAAGATAGTCTCGCCTTGCTTACGTTTTGGTGTCTATCAGACACCTTCCTCAAAGTTTCTGTCTGGAGTTCTGCTTCTCGCCGCTGTATGTAGCCAATGTGGGTGGAGCTTTTGCGGCAAGAAGCAGAACTTCAGCCAGAAGTTCTGAGGAAGGTGTCGGATAGTCTCACCTTGATGACTATCTTGATTGTGTAAAACTCCTGTATCCTATACTAGTAACCAACCTGATGAAACTATTTTTGGACTCAGTGGAAATACTTGTACTAAGTTGTAGAGTTGTACAGAGTCTCCTTAAGACCGCCATGAACATTTCTGGTGCAGGTTTTCTATTGCAATGCCATTGTTAGGCTAGGCTCTGTATGTACAGTAAAGCAATAAATATCTTCTGTCAGTGTGTCAGGTGTTAATTAATGAGGGCCTGATCAATCAGTTTCACCTGTGAAAAGGTGAGTGACAGTAGGATTTGTCCTCTTGTTTTTTTCATTCAAAGTTTAACACAAAGAAACATGCCTCGATACATGTACATAGTTGCCTATAGCCATGTACATTTGTAGTTATGTTGTCTGGATGTCCATCTGATGCTTATCTGCATTGACAATAGAAGAATGCTTTGTTTAATCCAATTACGATCTAGTTGAACATTTTAATGAGGAACCACTTTGATATGCAATTAGGGACTTGGTAAGAAGAAAAAATCTTAAATTGTCAACACCTGGATTTTTGTTAGAGCATGAAGATTATTTCCTAACACCACATATTTTAGACTCACCTGTTGAGTGTATTAAGTATTTTATTCATCATGATCATCAGAAAATACTGGAACACAGTAAGGCAGTAATCATTGATGTAGCATGTTTAAAGCAAGCTGACGCTTGACTTTTTCCTGTGTATTGAGAAAGCAATACCTGTACTTGCGTACTGAGAAACCTTGAAACACAACTTAATCGCACAAAACTCAACAAAAGTTCACTCTAATTCATTTCTTTTCATACCTACATGTACAGCACTCGAAATACAGGTTTCATTGCAAGGAGCCATCTTAATACCTTTTTAAACTGTGCAGGTGTTCAGATAATGTACCTGTATCAACCACGGGAGATTTGGGACATGGGGGAAGGCATCTCTGATTAACAGTAATGACGTACTTTTGTGTACAGACACATCTGGTGGGATCTAGACCTGCCGATTTGCCCTGGAGGCTGGGTAATGATGAGTGGGCGGGGCTCGCATCAGTCTTAAGCAAAGTCTCAAACAAACGAGACTTACTCATAGAGGAAGGGCTTAAGACACAAATCGCCCTCTCTGTAATTAAGTAAAATTTAAGTGTTTCACCTGCTTGAGTGAGGTCTTAAGCAAATAGTGAAGGGATAGCAATTACCTTTAGAGTAAGGACTAAGTACATGCTGTGTGACACAGTAAATGATCACCTGTTTAATGAAGAAAAATGTAAGCTTTTCACTTGCATAAACAGCAGTAGTAGTGATCACCTTTGGAGTAAGGAGTTAAATACAGGTTGTACAAATGGTAATTTCTCTAATGAAGTAAAATATAAGTGTTTCACCTGTGTGAATACAATCTAAAAAGTAATTACTTGTAGAGTAAGGACTTAAATACATGCTGTTTAAATGATCATCCCTATGATGAAGTAAAAAGTGTTTACATGCATGAATGCAGTCTTTGGCAGACAAGGAACAAATTAGAATTACTCGTAGACAAGGGATTTAAGATAGATAGGTCTAATGAAGTAAAACTGAAATCTTAAGTGCTTCACCTGCATGATGGCAGTGCATTGTCACTCTAGAACCCTTGTTCTTAACAAACAACCAGTATTAATGTGAAGAAGAAGAAAAAAGATAAGATAGAAAGCATTTTCCTTATCAGATGACACACCTACAAAGCATCTAACAGAGTGACAGATATCTTATTCAAAGTTATGAGTGGCTCCAGGCTGTTGTCTACGAGTCTTGGCATCCTTCCCATCCAAATGCCAATTGAACAGGAAAGATTTTTGAATGGGGACAAGATAGCAGGTTTTGATTAAGAAAATGCTTATAAATGTACAGGTGGACTTCTGGAGACTTTTTTTTACTTTCTGGTATTTGATTTTATATGGGTTGGTCAGAATTATACTTTCAGATGAAAATATTGTGAATTCCAAATTAGCAGTAGCCATGGGCAACCTGTGTGAATGGGCTCTGGGGAATCTCTTCAAAGCTTGTAAAAGGCCATTCCAGAATGTGTGGGCAGAAAAGCATGTGGATAAGCCTATTAACAAGTCCCTTATGTATTAATAATCATCAAATGTGTGAAAATACTGGTACCACGTAAATCTGACTTGAGGCGTGTACTCCTACCTTCGTTTTAATTTCTTTATGGATTCTTGATCCTTGATGTGCTACAGACAGACACAGATCTTTGAAGCCATCATTAGAATCAGAGATCAAAGATTCTTCCCCTGGTTCACCTACATTCCTACTGGAAATAAAGACCCTTTGATGAAAGGCTGTATCTTTTTATCTTGATGAAATCCTTCCTCAAAGACCTACATGGGAGCTAGGATACAATATTCATGCTTTGCCACACACAGATGCTATAGGTGAGGACGACAGGTTTTAAGTACACACAGCATCATCTTGACTTTAACACACTGCTCTTCTATGCTTCCTTGGCCAAAGAAAACACCAGTATTTGTGATTGTCTGGGACTCGGTTTATCCCCCAAAATAAATTTACACTGCAGCAGGTTTTGATTTGTACCTAGGTAAGTGATACTAGACATAAGAACACAAACTCAGACAAATTACTGCTACAAGGAAGCCAGCTGTTCAAAAAAGGAGTGAAAGTTGTAAATTTCTAGTCAGCAGAGAATTCTCTTTTCAATTAGAAATGGTAGGCTTTCTTGGCAAGATGGTGACAATGACACTACTACTCCAACTTGATTTTTAGCCAATGATATACTATACATTTTTTTTTTTTATGTCCATGTTGTCCATATTTTATGTGGTATTGGGCCATGAGCCTCAGCCAAATAAATGACTGCGTGGCTGACTGGTGAAGTTGTTGAGACTCTAACCTGCAGGGGTATTGATATTTGCTGTGCCCAAGAACCACAGGACAGAGGCAAATGGTGAGCTACCATCAATCCCCAGCATCAGAGTGCAAGCATGTCTAACCCTCTGTTACGGGGAACAACAGACGTTAAACCAAATAAAGAGAGAGATACCCAGTGTTTTTAAGCTGATACCTATGCACAATATATTCCTTGTTTAACACTATTTACATGTAATCTCCTCTCTGCAGACACGCCCGTGGTTGTTGTGCAGTCCAACCCGCCGCTGGTGGAGGAGGGGAGCTCCGTCAGCCTGTCGTGTGAGTCCAGGGCGAACCCTGGAGAGGTACGGTCCTCATCTGGTTCCAGAAATGACGTGGGTGACAGTCAGCGTTCTTTTTCTTTTCCGTTCCCTGCAGGCTGAGAGGAAGCTAAATCGCATGAAAAGTACACTAAGTCTTCCGAAAATAGTATAGGAGACAGGAGTTTTCTTTTACACAACCAAAATTTCTCGCCTAAGTGCTTACTTTTCGTCAGAAGCTCTGAGGAAGGTGTCTTATAGACACTGAAACGTATGTACTTAGGTGAGAAATCTTAGTGTGGGTACCATTCTGGTTACTTTAGTTCAGTCGCTCCCACCAACCTGGTTGTTGTGCATTGTACAACTAACCAGGATGGTACCCAGGCTAGAGAAATCTTGGTTGTGTAAAAGAAAACTCCTGTATCCTGCATGAAAAGTAATAAACCACTCACAACACCATTGAGAAACGTCGTTCAGTCTTCACCCACAAATCAGTACTTACATTGTATATTGAATTAACAAGTCTGATGCAGTGTTTCCCTGACTACTAAAAGGTGTCTGTCTGATGCCTTCAGACTGTTTCTCGGATAAGTACTCCTCAGATTGACACTCGAATAAACTGAAAAGGACTTTCACGGCGTGTTTGAAAGGCCACCTTGTCAGTTGCTTCTCCTCTGGTTCTAAAACCACTTTCGTTTCCCCTTTTGCCCATTAGGCAGTTTTTTACCAATTACGTTCAAGTTAAAACTGACACTTTACTACAATTAGAGCCTATTTGAAGTTGAAGCATCTGCCATGGTCAAGAAACCTCTAGTCTCAATGAACATGACTCTCAAGCACATGACTAACGCAGAAAAAAACAACATAGAAAGCCTGTGAATTTGTGTAAAATGGAAAATTCTGCTCAGTTGAAAAATGGGCCTATTTCAAGTTGAAGCATCTGCCATGGTAAGGAAACACCTAGTCTAAAGACCACCGGTACTGCATAAAGATTGGTGTACAAAGTCTCTTCTCATTATGAATTTTTAGTAGGAAGCAAATTCTGTGATATGGATAAATTTGATGATTCTGAAACGAGGGAAACACTGCAGAACACCCTCTCAGCCTCGGGGAACCCTTTACTTTACTTTACCCAGCATGCTCTGCACATCGAAGCATGGCGGTTGTCTGCATGTCTGCGTGTATCTGTGCTGCCCCAAGAGAGAGGCCGGCCACCATAACTCCACCTGACAGGACTCCAGCAAACCGCTTATTAAACCTTCTGTGTGTCCTGTCCCTTTTCAGGACGTAATTACGGGTTAGCGTGAGTTACATGCATGCCTGTAAGCATGTCAGCATGCGAACAGGGCTGTGGAAAAACTCTTTCCCACGCACCTTTTGACTCCTTTTTGTCCTGGTATGGAGAGCTTTAAGTAGTCTGCATGTACATTGCCATGTTTTGTTTCACTAGATGGCATAGTGCAGGTGCAAGGATATTAAAAAGATTCTTATGTGGGTAGTCCTCTGTCTCTTGTCATCTGCAAAGCAATTCGTTACCATCCCTGACAATTACCACATACGTCCATGTGATATGCTGCAGGTTGCCACTTGTTATCAATACAAAACCTATCGAGTTACATGTTTCCATCTTCTGTAGTCCAACTTATCTTTAAAGTTCATCTGTGTTGGTAAAAGTCATTATAAGGCAAGTTTAAACTGAACTTTAATTTCAAACACAAAGAAATTGGTCTTACCCAAATTTTTGGGTAAGACCAACTCCAGTCTTTGTCAAGGAATGATGCACTCCACTGCTTCTTTGAAGTGCAATGTCTTGTGTTCTAAATTACATTTTAAACTTGCTTCATATACAACTTAATGTCTTCCAGTATTGTATACTGTACTTGACATCTCAAGCTGATCTTACTCTAGCCATTGCCCCAATGAAGGTGGTCATTTTCCCTGTCATGTTTTTGTCTTCATGGCCAAGCACCATTCACAGTCAAGTTGTCATTATGATGTCTGGGAAGTAGGGTGTGGTGTTTTCACACACAATAGAAAACCCATTTCTTTTGACGCTTTTCTTTGATATTGACCCTAAGTCATTTTTTGTGCACATATGAAACATGAGAAAATTTATCAGAATATAGCTCCCATCCGAACAACCTGGTAAAAGATTTTCAATCTGGGTATTGTGCATTTCGATTGTTTTTAAGCTGTCTATTGAAAAAGAAAGAATTACTCTAATATCATCTAAGAAGACAAAATAATGTAACTGATAAGCCTGGGAAACTGAGAAAAGGAGGTTGACACTTGTAATCCAATTATCTCTCACCAGAATAATTTTATGCTGCCCACACAGTCAGTCAAACAAATATGATTATTCAAACAACTGAAGTACAGTATGTTTGCAGACAAAGAACAGACTTAAAATAGGAATACATATATACATACTGGCATACATAAATACATACAAGTTGTATATGAGCATGTAAGAGGAATGATTATTTCATACATGGAAGATAAGATTATAGAAATTGGAACCAAGTGAAACCCAGCACCAAGACACCATGTCTAGCAAAATGATTGACATAAGAGAAGAACAACATCAAGTAAACTGTTGAATGTTTATGAATGAATATTTTCATTAGGTTGGCAATATATATGTAAAATGTTAAAAGGTCATCTTAACTTCTTTTTTCAACAGCCAGTGTGTTTTACATGGATGTTGAAGAAAGAGCCTTCTTATACTCATATCATTACTGTCTTCATCCATGACCATTTTGTCCACATTTCATGCCTTTTGTTCCCACTGATGTGACTGTGTTCCATGTGTTTGTGTTTTACATGCCACAGACATAAGGATGAGGTTTGAACAGGTTTGTCTGGTGTTGTTTCAGCATTACACTCTGTCTGCTGAACTCAAACGCTACAGCTTTTTCCCGCTGAGTTTTGAACGTAAAGACACTTATTTTCAATCTACCTTTGTCCCTGGCTTTACCTCTTTCTTCTATAGAAAATTTGACATGAATAAAAGCCTTTTATATCATTCTTGAATTATGACAATAAAGAATCAATTACGAAGGGTGGTCTTTATCCAAGTATTTGTCCTTTTTCGTTTACAGCAGCCATTGTGTAGAAAATCAAAGAATTGTCCCTCCATTGTGGTGTCACCTTACCCTGAAATCAGAAACCGCAAAAGCAATTGATTGTGACTAATGTTGTTAACTGTGGGTAGACAGTTATGGCCGCCCCCAGTCGACATCTGCATTTGGAATTGGGATTCCTTCCAGCCAACTCCCAGAGGTGACTTCACTGGAAAGGAATTGTTGTAGGCAGACATCTGAGGAACATTACCAGAAATCGCAATCCCCTGAAGACCAGGGGCGCAACATGTGGATAGTCAAAATCGTCTCGAAAGCTGCAGGTATTCAGGAGTTGCAGCCCGCAGTCACGTTTCTGAAAGGTTTTCTCACTCCACGCTCATGTGTAAGCCATGAAGTGGGTGAAGAGTTGGCCTGAAAAACAGCTTGGGGCTAGGGAGTGGTGAACCTGAACAATTTGGATCATGAAAGTTTGGCAGCCCCTCAAAGTAAAGTAAAAATATATGTCACTTGCTTATAAAAAAAAAAGGTGAAAGAAGCTATGGTAGCCATCGTAAGAATAACAATATTTCAGATATGAGTTAGGTAGTGGTCTTAATGACCTTATGAACTTTATATCATCATAACATTCATTTTATTTGATGTTATTTTATTGAAATTGCATCAGCAAATTTATGGCAAAACAAGAATATTCTTGGAATAAAAAGAAAAATGCTATAATATTCCAAGTTCTGAACTATTGGAAATGACCTGAATTGCTGTACCTCATGTTGCCATAAACATTGTACAGAGTTTGATTCAACTGTCTTTTCAATTTTCATCAGTATTAAAAACACATCTATGCATCATCACTCATGTTCCATCTTACTGCAACGTTGTGTGTCCTGTCCCTCCCCACTACTGCCTCATTTCCTCTATCACCTTTGACTTGCAGAAAAGTTCTCCTTTCAACACATAATAGCTGCGTCTTTATGGATCTTGATGCCACTCTTTCATGCCTTGCTTGCCCAAATTTAGCATGACCATGTATTCCATTACAAGGGAAAAGGGAGTATACACATGGGGTTCCTTGGTTTCTTTCTTACAAAGAACCTTGTGTAGTATCAAATTTTACTGCTTTTCATTGTTCCCTTGTATTTGCTTTTTCTCCATCAAGTGCCAAGACACTCGTTATTCTTGCCAAATTTATTCCCCTGCTCTTAAAAGTAACACATGGCGTCCAAAACGATCCCTTGATGCTCCATTCAACATCCTGCAACCTGCAGTGCCTACTATTTCTGCGGTTCAGATTTTTAGGCTACAAAATTGCCTTACTTACCAGAACAATTTATTTCTATTGATACTAGTATCAATAATTTAAATGTGTGTCCATTGTGTTATAGATATGCAACCCAAGTACTGTTAACCATAGCCTACATGTAGTTGGGTTTACCATTCTCCTCAGGCCAGCTTAGGGGTGTTTTACTGGTCCCCAGTCCTAAGCATAGTCCTCTTCTGACATGCAAGATCTTTCCAGCCTTTCTAACTGTTGCTGTCCTGTAGAGAACTAATTGAAACCTGGTTGGGTGGGCAGTTCCGTAGAGATACAAGTGAGCCTAGCCTATGATAGTCTGGCTACCGGGCTATGTTAACCATGAAATAACCTAAAGATGGCGGTCAAAACTTTGTGCTCACAACTGTGACATTTCCTTTCTAGGTCTCCTATCAGTGGAAGAAGGACGGTGTGGTCTTGGCAGGTGAGACCGGCCAGGTGCTGAGACTGACTAACGTGCGCAGAGAGGACAACATGCAGGTGTTCACCTGCGATGCTACCAACGCAGTGGGCACCAACAGTGCCAACCTCACACTCAGTGTGCAATGTAAGTCTGCTGCTCCGTCAAATCATACAAAGTTTATTGCAAATCACTCTACCCACGGCTTGAGAATCCACCTGTATACGTGTATGTGTAAGTAAAATTATTGCTGTGCAGGGGTTTTCTGATGTCTAACCTGCGCCAGTCCATGTACTGGGTTTATACATACATGTATTTAGTCGGTTGCTTTGTCAAATTGCACTAGCCAAGGCTCAAAATATCACCTGTGCATGCAGTTAAGTGTAGGTAAAATTGGTGCTGTGAAGGTATTCTCTGATGTCAAACTGCACCTAGCCTGCGCTGGTCCGTTTTCAAGGTTTATATGTAGGTGTACCTGTATATGGACTTTATTTGCTGTATTTACTGATGCCACTTTTGAATTTTGAAACAAATGATGGCAATGGTTTACGATGTTCCTCAATTTTGAGCAGTGCAGGTAATTTTCATTGTTACCTTCACCATTGCAGGTATGCAGTGACAAAAGTATTTTGAACCCTGCTACTACAGTCCAGTAGAAATCTTGCATATATGCACCACCCACGAAAGCTAGAATATGAATTTCATCATTGTTTATTTCATCATTAAGGCCCCTGCTGAAAGTAAATGTTTACTCAGGTGAATCAGCGTTAATACAAGAAAGAAAGCATTCCTATATGGGGCAGGGGGTCAACCTGTCCACTTCAGCCTGTATGATATGTACTATGTGTTAATTTTCCTGTATGTATTATAAATTTTGCACTTGTTTACAGCAGGGCTTCGTGTTAGACAAGGCCATGTTTTGGTTGGCGTGTTCTTCTTCAGCTGTATTATGACAGAGCTGTGTCCTGGTCTGGATCTAGATCCCATCACTAGACACAACAGATGGAAAGTAGTGAGAGTTGGGGTCAGTGTCCGGAGACCTTCCCACCACAGTAGTACAGAGAAAAGTCCACAGGGGGCCTGCCATGGCAGAAAAGTACATGACCCCTGACCCTGTGGACAGGCCTGCCCAGACCAGACTATAAATACTCTAGATCTCTTTATGTTCACAGTAGCAAAAATTTGCGGTCTAAGAAAAATGGACATGTTTGCAGAACTATATGTTGGCATTGGCAGCAGGTATTGCAACAAGAAAGTCAGCGAATTATTTGATCATGGTACATGTATATTGGTCGCTGTAACGTTACCGAAGTGGCTGCGAAAACCGTAAATATAAAATTACCGGGGAAAATTGTGATTTACAGTAATATGACATTGGAGGATCCCTTTATTATTGGCATGTCTGTAGGTCAGGTTTGATACATGAGTGTCCTGGGATTCGGGTCTTGTTTGATTTATTTTGGGCTGACATCTGCTTGCAGGAGGAGATGCTAAATGGTTCCAACTGTCTTATCTGTCCCTGGAAGGCTATTTAGTGCATCAGATGATGACAATTTAGGGCATGTTGCCAGTGTCTAGACTTAAGATAATACATGTTGTATTCTTCATTCCACGGGTTATGTATAGAGCTATCAATCCTTTTGAAGTTGGCAAGGATAAACTACTTACGGTTAATACCTTGGGTAAATTCTTTGGAAAAACAATGAGATGACTAAATACATCAAACCTCATAAGGTTTCATAGATATCTGTTCCAAAATTATAATTACATCAGTCATCTTTTCCACAAATCTAGAGCAATGGCAGAGCAAATACAGTCTTGATAAGAATTCAAGTTAGACTGACTCCTATCGGGGGTCAAACCTCAGCAGGGTTTTGGTTATACAGTAGTACATTTTTGTATAAGGCCACACCAATTTAATTTCTTGGTTAACGGATTCGCCCGCTTCATTTTTTTCTGATTTGCAAATAAAAATAAAAATTCAGAATCAACTGCAAAATGCTCATATTTTGCCCTGAACAGTTGAAAACAGTCCTTTTCATCCTAGTTGTTACAGTTATTTCATCTTTCAATGCAAAGGTATCATTAAAAGTTCAAAATTCATTGTTTAATTTTGAACCAGCCTGGTGTGTTGACTTCATGGCTCCTATCGTACCATTTTGGGCCATAATAGGATGCCTAGGCCTGTTTTTTTTTTTTTTCGCCCGGCCGCACCATTATTTTTCTACAAAAATCCGTTAACCAAGAAATTAAATTGGTGTGGCCTAATCTATATATTATAAAGGCCCAATACTTTTTTTATATATACCGGTGGTATCTATGTCAGCGCTCACACAGCTTTAGCAGCTGGTCTAGATAGACAGAACTGAGCAGAATTTCTTTTCTGAATTCTGGGGCAATTCTGTTCTTAGAGTCTAGACATGTGAAAAATCAATAAATGGAAGTGTTAATCAATATGTGTAGTTGACCATAAAATGCTCGTAACACAAATCACAGCAAAGTACATGTGAGAAACCTTTGCTCCAGCTGACTCCCATGCTTTGCACCACAGTTGTTCTCCTTCAAGGAAGCTGTTTTTGAAAGTGAGGAGGGAAGCCTGTTTGTTGTTGGCCAACATGGTGGTCCCCCAGCCAGCCGACCAACTGGGTTGACAAGTTTGATAAATCCCACCGATCTGGTCTGGGGCCTGAGAAGCTGTTCCTTACACTCTGCACTCTCCAGATCTCTCCCTTCTTGGCGCCAATAGAGGGCAGGGGGATCAGGGTGTGTGGAAAGGAGTAAGACATCAGGGCACAAGGAACAAGACTTGTTGCTTTCTGACTTTGAAATCTGTTTTAGGCTGAATAGGAAGCATGTGTCAGAATTACAAGAAATCGTTAAGATTAAAGTAAATCAAATCAAACATCTAAGGATGGGGACAATATTAGCAATACAAGCACATCAGCGGAACGTACTCTGCTGGCACGAAATGTGGATTTGTCACTGTTTATGTTGGATGTTTGGTCAATGTTGCTTCAGAATTTTGCCCTTTGCATCTACAATATCATTTCCTATACAACATTTGAAAACTGTGCCAATGTGCCATGCATCTACAATATCATTTCCTACACAACATTTGAAAACTGTGCCAATGGAGATGGGATGTCATTCTTATATATGTGTATGCGACCTTAACCAAGACATTTTACCAAAGTGCACAATACATTACGTGTTTTGCGCAGGCGCAATACAAACCATGGTGTTGCACATCAGCAGTACTTCATTTGACACAGTATCACCAACATCTGCACGCTGCAGGAAGTGCCCATTAACTTGAAGACCTGTAGGGCCCTGGAGTGGCTGATAATGCAGTGATTTATTACTCCAACAAAGATTTTAAAATGAAACAGATGACAATCAGTTATAGATGAATGCAGCCCATTGTTCTGGTTGGTAGTGAGAGAAGAAGTTGTAAATCTTCAGGTATTGGGAGGATTTGGGCTGATTCAAACATGTTACTGATGGTGAAGTCAAATTACAAATGTTAGGACTTCAATCAAGTTATAGTCATACCTTCAAGTACCAGAGTCACCAACCTAGGATGCTGGTGTGTTGGGCTCTGAAGGGCGGTTTTACTGGCTATAATTAAATCATAAAAATGTCACAGGCCCATTTTAAGGGTTGGACAACATACATGTGTATTTACAAGTAACCATAAACTGGGGGGCCTTAAGCTGATTCATTACATAATTACCTGTTGACTGATATACTCTTTCTGTCAAGATATCTGACCATTTTCAACTCTATTCAGTTGCCTGAGTAGTCACTTGGCATGTTGTGTTTTTCCTACTCATTATCAAATTACTAGTATCAACCAACAAAATGTCACAAGGCCATTAAAATCTTCAAGCTTTAATTGGCCGCGATATTCAAAGGCTTAAACAATGTTTGTATGCATCCACAAACTGTAGGTTTTGAAACGCTGCTTTCTTTTCTTGCTCAGATGGACCAGAAATCGTGAAGACGACGGGGCAGGGAGCCACCCAGGCTAACCTGAAATGTCTTAACTATTTTCAAAATCTATCCAGTTGCCTGCCCTGAGTAACTGTTACCTAGGCATAAACCATACATTTTGAAATTTTGTATTTTTTTTTTCAGACGGGCCAGAAATCGTGAAGACGACTGGGCAGGTTATTGTGGACAGAGGGACCTCGGCAGCGCTGGTGTGCAAGTGGAGCGGAAACCCTCCCCCCACCATCATGTGGACCAAGAAGGGCTCCTCCTCGGTTCTGGGTACAGGAGACACGCTCAGCTTCCCCATCGTGGACCAGAGCCACTCCGGCACCTACGTGTGCACCGCGGTGGTGCCTGGGTCNAGTATGAAAACTGTCTGCCATTGGTTTAACTGTAATCCAAATACTTCCTCAACACAACAGGTGCACCTAGTTAGAGTAAACCCAAAAAGAGTATCTGTCATTGGCCTTCTCTGGAGGGTATAAGAGGATTCCAGCTTTGCACCAAAGATAGGTAAAACCTGTGCCTAACAACCTGTAGTAAACACTAACAGCTACAAGTATGGATCCCGTATGGTGCTGTCAGCAACAGGAAATGAAGAAAATGTAAGGAGGTGCATTCCTCGCCCCAGGCAGCGCTATTATCTTTAAAGAGATTGACTCTGCTAACAGGTGACTCGCACTGACCTGCTAGCTTCTACAGATACAAGTGCTTGGGTTGCAAATGTGTAGCCTGGGTACCATCCTGGGTAGGGTACGTCCACTCTTGAACAGTCGCTACCGACCAACCCAGGCTAGTAAATGTGCTGGAAAGTCTGGAACTCACAATTAAAGTGCTCTAGCTTAGAATAAAAGATAAAAGCAGTCTGGAGCATTTCCTAGGTAAGGAAAGATTAAGT